TCTGTGGTCATTAAAAATCCCAGGGTGTGTCTCGGCAAGAGTAGGGGTGTTACCGCGGCGTACTGGCCACATTTCCCATTGGCCTTTACCAATCAAGGCCTCCTAATAATCCAATCTCTGAACTGGCTTCATCACTCTGCTCTCCTCACTGAGAGCTGATGTGTGAGGAGCGGACTGGTGCACTTTGGCTGCCGTCACATCCTCCAGGTGGGGCTGCACCCTGGTGGTGGAGGAGGGGAGTCCCCTTTACCTGTGAAGAGAAAAGCGCTATATAAGTGTAAGGAATTGTTATTAAGAAACATCTCCAATGCAGCTATGCATCACTGAGCATAGCCTCCTGGAGCAGCAGCAGCTGGTCGTTTTGTGCTTGATTCCAGCAGGTTACCTGCACGCTTCACAGTATTGCAGGCTTCCATCGTCGCATCACACCATGAACTCAGCGCTTTTCCTTGTGCGCGGTAAAATGGCAGACTGTTCAGACTGCAGAGACAGGCAGTCCTCTCCGCGGTGTGGTGGCACTGTAGGCAGCTGCTTGGTGGTAGATGCACCACAGACTGCACCTCTTTACTGCATGTTTGGGAATGTCAAAACATTTCTGTCACTTCCTTGTTATTTTTTTTTAGTTTTGGATCATGCCGGGCTTCCGGGAAGTGTAAATGGTCCATTTTATTTATAGTATTGACAGAGCAGCTCCAGAAGATGGGGGGGTTTGGTGCTGCTGTGGACAGTGAACTCAGAGTTATTTTTCTTCCCTCGTGGCCGCTGACAGTCCTGTTTTCAGGACAGGCCCGTACATGACTCAGCAGAGTGTTTTATACTTGGTTGCAAGATTGCAGAATTCTAGAACAAGATCTACACATGTTCTCAAACTGGATGGTCACGTGAAAAAACACTCCCTAAGACAACTCACACACAAGAAAAAGGTTTTAAAAAGATTTTTCCAAAATACAAAATGTTCCCAAAATTCTTTCTCATTGCCAAGTATTATGGTTTTTTTTCAGTGCCTTCTCAGTTTGAAAATGGACTCAGTAGTGTATGAATATGGGTTTTAAATGGTATGATAAGTGTTTTGCATTTTCAGTGTTTATTTTTCATCCCTTCAAACTTGTTTGTATCTCAGCCAGACCCTGCAAGTGCAATCTCGGCAGCCCCTCCTGCAGAGTTTACAGGTGACCCTGATCACCAGTCCAAGAGCCCACTTGACTCACATCTCATTCAGTCCTGTAGTTAAATAGTCTTACATTTGTCGTGGCATATTTCGTGTTGCCAGCTGATGAATGAAACATCCCAAAAAGCAATGGGTCAGACATGTATATAGTAGTAATGGTAACATGTATATAAAGATAGTCATTGCAACTATCCTTATAAATAGGTATGGTAGATAATGATACAGATTCCTGTATTCAGAGGGCAATATGTCCTCTATGGGAATATGTCCTGCTAAACAGGAATCTCGTAGTATCTGTGTTTTGCTAAATTGGGATACAGAGAGACAATAACTTTTCATTGTATTATAAAAAGAGGTAGGATACTGTGAAGTAAATGCTGAAAAATAGACATGTTATTCTGGATTTTGTGAGTACCTTCATTCCTTTTACTGTACATAAGTAGGCATTTGGAGATGTAGCAGTTTGTATTATGTTGAAACTGAAGTATTCATATTTAACAACATTTATTGCACTTTAGATTCCTTATTGTACTAATTGATAAAGGAGGGTGATTATTTTTGTCTTCAGAGTATGTTCTGCTATATTATGGGAATTTTGAAGTTGCTTGCTTTGCAGCTGTCTGTCTCACAGTGATTCCTGTAACATTTATTTCTGTTTAAATTTCCTTTTCAGAATCCGAATCTGAAGGTGAGGACTAGCCCAGAAATCGAGAAGATTTAATGCTAAGCAGAATGCTTTCAAAGGCCAGTCGCTGCAGAAATGGCTTCATTGTATTTGTTGAAGAGTGTGTAGGCTAGTCTTTTCCTTTGAATTGCAGATATTACTGTGTACTTAAAGCCCAGTGCACCAGAGAACTTCTGTGGGCTTGTATGACTTGGGCAGTGTGTTCTACATTAGAAGCAATGAAGACAGTAATCGACGAGACATTCAAGAATCCTGAAATGGTGTAATTACGGACTCCTTTTACTTACACTCTTCAGGCACTGTAAGAACACCACAGTGTCTGTTTTAGATTTTTTTTTTTCCTTATTCAGATAAGTAATTATTCAGATTACTTGTGTATGTTGACAATGGGTATTTTTGAATAAATGGGTTTTGTTTGTTAACCCTCCTTGTTTTAAAACACTGTCCTGTTCCAGTGGTTATTTGTTGTTTTCTTATTTAACTGCGAAGAGGCGATAACAGTTCACTGCAGTTTCCTGGGTTTTCTTTGGTGATCCAGGAATACGTCTTGCTAAACAGGACATATTCCTACAATTGTAAAATGTTCCCCGGCCCCTTAATATTATTCATATTCAGAGATTAGAGGACTTCAATTCCTAAGGTATATTTTAAACACAATTTAACACATTCTGTTCCCAAGTCTTTATTTAATCCCTTCGTCATTTGTATTCTTGATTTCCACATCACCACCGTCTTGAAGGTTAGGTTTCTGGGATTTGATGTGGTTCAGTCGCTGATCAGATCTTTCCATTAGTATCCCTTCATCTACACGGCCATCACCAATTTTCTCAACGCTTTATCCAGTGCAGGACAGACGGTGCCTATCCCATCAAGGAATGGGTTCAAGGCAGGATAAACCCTGCACTGGATTCCAGTACCTCTCAGGGCAGATGCACACCAGACACACACACTCATTTACGGCCCGGGCTAATTTTCCCAGAAGCCAATTAACCCTCCAGCGTGTCTGTGGACTGTGGGAGGAAACCTTACGGTATGTTCGCAAGGATTTCTATTTTTTTTTTTTCGGTTCGTACTGGCTAGATGTGAGGACTGAGCTGGATATTGTTGACTCCTGGGCGTTTTCTCTCATCTCAGCCATCGAACTCTTTCAAAGCTGATTCTGATTTTTAAGAGCTGTATTTTGTTGTTAAGCAGCAGCCTGTACTGGACAAGGAAGGATCCGTGTTTGATGCTGGTGTGTGGTTAGGAGCCGTCATCAGACACGACCCCATGCAGTTTTAATCACGCGTGTGGTCTATCCTGCAGGTAACCTCCACATCTGCTGGAGGAAACACACACACACACACCTTGCTTCTTCTCCATAGAAATAGCTGCCGCATGAAGACAATATCTCTGCATCTGTGCTCACATATAATCGTATGATGTAGGCATGATCATCCTCCAACCCAATTATTCTAAACGCAGTACCTAATAGCGCTCTGTGCTTAGTCCTCGGTGCAGGAAAGCCTCACTGTGTCGACTCAATCAAAATATCGATAAAACGAACTAAATTATTTTTAGCCTTCAAAGCACAAAACACTGGACATAGTTAAACCCCAGTTTTTCGACATTGTCAATGTTATTACCTCACGAATGAAACGGTAATATTTTAAATGTGATGTTTGTAAAAAGCACTTTATAAAAAGCACTTGTAACATTACATTACAGTATAAGGCACTTCGTGAGAGCGAATAAGCACTAGTACTCTCGTCCACTAGGGGTCACTGTAGGATCGTGTATTTCCATATCAGCAACCAGGTTTTTCTGGAACAAGGTCTGAAAGGATTAAAGATGAAGACGTCAGACGTACGGCGACCTTACTATATAATAGTTTACCAGATATTTCTAATATATTTCTAAAAATCGGTAATCGTACAGTACCTTTAAAAGTGCCTTTGACACAAATAATCTATTGATGCTTGTTTAAGCACTGGAGAGACTAAAACTTAAATCGAGTGATAAAATTCGGATGTAATCAAGTGTAAGAGGTTTAATAAATCAGCCATTTCTTATCATCATGTAGACATTGAACGTTTTCTGTCAGAGACAATTTATCCTTTACTGAATTTTTGATTAATATTAAAAAAAATAATGATTGTATGATGACAATGCTAAGCAAAAAAATAAAAAGGTACTATATACAATGTCTATAGAAAGTCTACACACCCTTTGCACAGTAACACATTTTGTGGTCTAAAAGCCTGAAGTCATGACGTTAAATTCTTAAAAATAAATAAAATTATGCTCAAACATTCTGAAGAGTAATACACATGAAAACCCAGAGAAGATGGGTTGGATGAGTATACACACCCCTGAGTTAGTACTCGGTGGAAACACCCTTTGATTGAATTACGGCCATAATTCTGTTTGGAGAGGCCTGCACCACGTACAGTAGCACACCTAGGTCTGGTGCTTGGCCATTGCTCCTTACAGAACTGCTCAAGCTCAGTCACATTGGGAGGGCAGTCGTGACTCCATAGATATTCAACAGGATTGAGGTCAGGGCTCTAACTGGGACACTTTCTACAGGCCCTGTGTGTTACGGGCATCAACAATTTGCTCAGATCTTACCCTATTGTTTGACTGTTGGGTTTGGGTGAGAAGAAACCAAGCTCCTCATTTTCAATCTTTAATTCAAATTTCCCAAGACTTCGCAGTATTTTAACCTGCAGTAGCAATGGAAGATGAAACTAACAATGTCCGCAAGATTCTAGCTGCCTGGAATCTGTCTGTTGGATAATTGTGCTTTCAGAAGCACAACCGGATTAGAACCAATCTTTTCTGATGAACTTTATTAAGAACCTTCTAAAAATCTAAGGATACCATATTTTATGCTGCAGCCTGCAACCACAGTAATATTATTTTTCAAAGAACTCTAAGAAATCAGTTAA